ACATTCAGAAAAGAGTATTGTTTATTACAGAAAAAGTGTTTGCCTAATATTCTTCAAACACTATTTAAAGGTCTTGCCTACTAGAAGACAATGCTTGGCTAATTATTGCCGCATTTCACAACAACAACAACAACGAGGACAACAACAACAACAGAATACACAAAGCAACATGAAGCACAGGTACATACAGGTCACCAAGACAAACAGAGCTTCCTCATACAGAAGTTTAAGACTCAGATGCAAAGGGAGTCTTCACAGGTGCGATAAAAAGAAAATTTTAGGTGTAGTACCACGTCAAAATACTTTAATATATAAAACCAAAAAATATTTTTCTTCACACATAAAGACATAGTAATGTTTTGCATTTGTGTAAATGGATAGAAATCAGAGGATATTAATTCAACATAGGTAATTTTAGGTCAGCTTAGACACGTCATTAAACCATGAAGTAAACTGCCTGAATTACTTACTTGGTAGTACTTCTCACGTCAGTAGCGGATTGGTAGTTATCTCTTTAGAGACTAACACATACGCACAGGACTGCCAACAAGATTACACTACTAGTTTTGCTAAAACTTTTACAACACTGTGACAGAAAGTTATTTAATATTAAGAGAATCCTTCCCACAGGATTAGCAATTTCATGCCTTTCACACAAGTTTCTAACAACTTGCTGCCAATGCCTGCGTGATGCAAAGCTAAATTATAAATGCATAGACCAGTTTAAAGAAAAAAACATAATTAAAAGTCACTGTTCAAACTTGAGCCTCAAATAGCTCTCCTACAAAGCACCAAAAACCATAAAGAACAATCTGTCATAAAGTTGTATACCTCCTGTAGAATGACAGGCCTATCTAAAACCCAAAGTTTTCATTATTTTCAACAATATATTTTCCCTAAGACATAGCTATCAATACTTGATCTTTAAAAACACGTGGCAAGATAAACAATTGTAAGCAATTCTTTCTGTCAGAAGAAAAAGCAGGGAAAAACTGCGTAAAGCAATAGTTATGACAGCGATGCAATCAAGGACCAAAATATTTATCAAACTTGTATACACGATAAAAACATTTAATTTCAAGATTATTAGTTCATAAAAATTATTAAAGAATGAAAAAAGTACAATGATTTTGCAAACTTCTTCTCTTGCTGACATGTGTTTTCCCTCCGAGCTAAAAATACTAACCTGAGCTCTTTTTTCTCTAAGTTCCTGCTGCTGTAACCTTCTTTTTTCACGTTTCTCTTGCAATTTTTCAACCTCTTTTACACAATTAGATTTTCTACGTGCTTAAAGAAAATGATAAAATTTTAAAATATTTTTAGTGTTGCATTAATTTAGTACTTACACCATAACTTTTCAATTTTACTAACTTACCAATAATTAGAATGCATTTATATCAACTATCTTTTCAAGCAAATCAGTATTAGTACAGAATAATTATGGCAATTTAATTTCTAACACTTATAAAAAAAAGAATTAGAAAAAAGTCATGGGAATGGGAAAATAATTACATGACCAAAAATGTAAGGACAATGACCCTCAAAAAACATTTGGACAGATACATGTGATCTCTTGGTTTGAATTAAAAGAAAGACCAGGCAAATGAAAAAAAAATCCAAACAAAAAAACCAAAAAAACACCCACAACACTGCCATGGTTAAAAAAAGATAAAGGAAAAACAAATTCCAAATACTAGCACAAGTATGACAAAAAGTGAACATTTGTTTAGCCACAGGTCTCTGATAAAGCTCCTCGAGGAAGCCCGCAGACAACTGCACATGTAGCCCATTTGTCATTTATGGACAACAACATAATCCAAGAGAATGTACATGTAACGCCCAGAATGAATAAATCCTTGATACATGGTTTACATACAAGGGGGTCCAAATTCCTTTTTTGCAGCTTGAACTGGAGATATATCTGAAACACTACCATTCTGTTGAGAGGACGAAGACTGCTCAGGCAGCTGAGTAGGTCGCGCGCGTGCAGAACCAACCACTGCAAAGGAAAAGCACAAAGTTCATCTGGACACAGGGGAGTAACATTCCTATCCGATTCTGAAATGTTTTGTTATGAGATAAAATGAGGCTCCTTTCCAGACACAACCATTTATTGTGGGTGAGGGGGAGCCATACATGTAGAAAGTCTATTAATAAGGACATTTGGCGTGCAGCCTTTTTTATCCTAGTGTTATACACCAACACAACATAATCATTAAGTACCGATGTTGCACGTGCATAATTTTAAACACTCTACTGCAGAATTAGCACAACTTATTATGTGCACAGAATGAAGCGAGTGCTTGGAGATAAGCAGTCCTAAAGCTTCAAGTGCTGAGATTTTATTTATATTGTGATTATACCCAAAAAACAAGTAAGAAAAGAAGCCGTGCTGTTTCACATCCTCTAGACTAATATTACAGAATGGTCCCATCCCATCGAGCCTACAATCTCTGGAAGAGCAAAGGGATATAAAGGAAAGGCAGCAAAGTGCAGCTCTCCCTGTGAGTGGAAGAAACAAACCTTTTTGACACCGGACTGGAAGGGATACAGATACGATCCATATGTCTAAACTTATGTACTGATTCTACACTGCTAAGGATGGCAATTTCTGAAGATGCAGTGGGAGTGGTGAGCATGCAAGCCTCTTCGGTAGAGCTGAATGCTTTAAACTGTTTTTCAAAGAGTTGCTTCAAGCAGCTCTGCTGCAGCTGGCCCACTTCCTCCACACGCTCCTGACAGAGTCTGCCAGAAGAGTACAAAAGTGAAGGTATCAGCTTTGATTAGCAGCCAGAGATGACACTCCACACGAAGGCCACCTCACTGTGCAACATGGAGACAACTACGGAAACAGGTATCGAACAGGACAGACAAGACTAATGCCCAGATCATTCCAAATATGATAGGAGATCTAGTTTATAGCACAAACTGACTACATGAAATAAGACAGTGTGCTGAGAAAAGCTTAATTACAAGGCCAATGAAGAACAAATACTTAGGCTGACTGTGAATAGTCAGATGCATAAGACGTATTAAAACACACGTTACAGGGTTATTCCGTACCAAACAGACCATTTACTACAAACGACAACATGTACGGATGCGAGGAAAGCACATCAATAAGGTGTCTGAGATTTAAACCATAGTAGTTTGAAAAAAAATTATTCCCTCCTCATGAGATTTTCTGTTTGTTTAACAGCCCCAGAGGCAAATGGCAGAAGGGCAAAAGTGGTCCCAATCATCCACCAGAAGAGTCTGAACACTTGCAAAGATATGCAAGCCCACTTGTTTTTCAAGCTTAAACAGATGGACTGGAATCTAGTCTGAATTAATTACAGTAGATTAACGTTTGGAAGAAGAATCATCACCATCATCAGTACAAGTTAGTTAAGTTTAACGCAGGAGAGAAGATGAAAACAATAAGCAGGAACTACTCTTTCTCATGTTATGGATGCATTACACCTGTATTCAACCAATATATACTTTTCACCTATCCTCCTGTGGTATTTCAGCATTTTTTGTGGATTTTTGACTATTAACTGTAGAGTGAGAAATAACCCCTAGGGCTTAAGTACTCTTTGAATGAATGTTTACACACAGACTGTTAGAAAATTAAGTTAAAAAATTGAAAGCATAAGAATTTTAAGTGCACTGCTTAGTAGATAGTGATACACTCAAGCTGAAGCAAACTGAGGATGCTTTAACTTGGAAAAGTCCACACATGATTTAATGTACGTAATTAATTTTTGCACCTTCAGTTCATTCAGCTTTACTTTTCTAATGCTATATTGCTTAAACTTGCATATAAATACTATTTGTACAGTATGAATAGGCATAAGTCTAGGAATAACGTACCATGTCTTTTACATGTCACATGCATGCATACCGAACGAGAAATGCGGAACTGCTAAGGGATATTAGATGAGGAGGTTAAAACGTTCCCATATTTTTTTACTTCCTTGAAACGGAAGGAGATAACATTTACCTCTGTTATCTCTGGCAGGGGTGTCATTCTTAAGAGATGCCATAGTTCGTCGACTCTATAAAGAAAGAAATCTCTGTTATTTGATCACCATATAATTGAAAAAGTAAACAGCAGCCCCACCTCTGCTTCTTTCAAGTGAATGAAAATAACATGACATCAGCAATACAGAGAAGTGATTGCTGCCAAATCCCTTCCTGAAGAGCCTAGGGTGAAAACTGCTTGAACTGTAAGTACTGTTTCAATCAACCTCCAAAACCTCTGTATTTTAGCTTGAGATATATTTAGTTATATAAATATTAGTTCCCAGCTCCCACTCTGTCAAACCTGTTCTTAGAAAAAATTTTTAGAAACCCCTGTTCACCACAGGAAAAAGAAAGGACCACAGCTATCAAATAGCTCCACAGAAGTTAAGGTTAAAAATTCAAGGATAACACCATGCATAGGAGTATTGTAATTTAACATGAACATGTTGCATAGATGTTACCAACCTTCACGATTTTATTTACTTTGGCTGATGGAGTAGGCGGTGGTGGTGTCTCTGGACTAGGTTCAATATCTTCATCAGGTGCAAGGTCTGGGTTAAGTGAAAATATGCTCTCCAAGTCAATCTGTGTCAGAAAATATAAAATTTATTTATGAGTCTTAAAACAACATTCACCCTCTCCATTTCTTCTGTTACGCTTGAGAATAAACAGTAAATATATTTAGTGGGTTTGCTCCAGAATTTGTTAATTCTAAAACCTGTATTATTTCGTTTTACATTCACTAAAAACAGCGTAAGCTTTGGTCTTTGTATTAGTCAAAAACACATCCTTCAGAAAAGACATGAATTAAAAATAACCAATAGATATTAATAATTTTGTACAGTGATTAAATTAAAACAGAAGTAGTTAGTATTACTGTGGTAATTTGACAATTACTGCAAAATACGAAAGACATTCTATAACATAAAAAGAAAGATCTCAATTAATTGAAATTTCCCACGCAGTGCAAAAGAAACAGATGAATTACAACCACCCACAAAACAAAAGCACAATTGAAAACATATTAAATTTGTCATGCTATTTTTTTTTTTCTTTTTCTCATTCAAAATGCTGTAAAATGTAAGGGGGGCAGGGGCAGGATCTTAAAAATAGCTGGCTTCAGATCTATTGAAACTTGGTTTCCTAAAAATTTTAAATAGCTTTGGTCTTTATAGACCGCCATTTCCCCTGGCTGGACCTTTCAAAGGCCTCACGACTGTATGGATTCTGTGTGTCCAGAGGGATGAGCTCAGCTGATGAGATCACCAGGACTTTCTCAGAATTTTTTTTTTTCTTTTTCCTGTGATTTCACAAAACCGTTGAAGTGTAATTATTTCTGAGATACTTCTCCAAATCTCAGCTGGCCAACATGGTCCAAAATTTAAAGGAAGAGGGGATAGTGAAGCATTACACACAAAGACACAGTTTCTCAAGGAAAGCAAAGCTGAAAAATTATTGCCAAAATAAATAAACAAGCAAACAAACTAGCAGTTCAACTCCTCAACAATACAAACACAAAAAGATTTCTAATCTAGCTCTCCCACTAGTTTCCTGTCTGAACTGCAAGTCATTCTCCCTCTAAAAAAATTGAGTTTTCTACTTGTAAAAAGAGGATAACAAGGTCAGCCTTTCTAATCTGGTTCAAAATCAATAGATGAGAAGAACTATTTAAAAACTATGACACAGAGCTCAGGAAGTCAAATTTAATACAACAGAAACGAGCATTTGCCCAACAGCTCCCCATGCAAAACAGTCTGTCACCAAAGAATAATCAAGTAAATTAAGGTTTATATCTTCTTTTTGTTTCCAGTGCAAATGCCAAAGTAATGCTCATGTAGATTACACATTTTTTAAAAGAGAAACGTTCTAAAATAATTAAGTTTACCTCTTTGCCTTTAGTATCTCCATTTTCAATCCACTCAACAGTTACGCTTTCACTATCTTCATTTAGGGATGTTACCATAGCTTGGTGAATTCGGCCTAGAAAGCAAACACAAATAATCATTTATTAACGGGTGGAAAAGTTTTCCAGAATTTTTTTTTCTTCCCTGCACCGAGACATGCAGAGAGAGGCAGGAAGAAGAGGCTTAAAAAAAATGAGGTGATACATAGAAGATGATTCCTGGCCACACAGTGTGAAGAGGCTCAGACCTGATCCACCAGTGGAGGCTCCAACGTGACAGTCAGCATATAAGTGAAAAGCTCAATGAACAGAAAACTGAGTGGTAAGTCAACAAAACACAACGTGAAAGCCACACCACTTAGAGTCTCTTTTCCTGAGACAGGAAAACTCCAACACCACGAATGTCCCACGGGCAGCAAAGTCTCCTGAGGTGCACCCCACAAAGGCTTGTTTGTCCCTCTCCTAGGCTGATACAACATTACATGTCTCAACCTAGGTGTGAAGCCCCCTGAAGTTGTATTCTGATATCCATTTCTTATGGGCATCCAATCAGCTGGTAATTCAAGTAAATTAAATTGCCTGCAATAATAATACAACATAAAACTCAGACCGCTGAGCTGGAGTTAAGATGTCATTGCTTTGACTTCTCCAGTGAAAGACCCAAAGCCAGCAGGACCCCATAAAGTACAATAAAACCAGTAGACTTTAAGCAGGAATAACAATATTTCTTCTTAATGATGTATTGTACCAATGTTTTTTTATGTCACTATTTCCTACAGATGCTAGCGAGGAGCAGTTTTAAGAGCAGAGCACGCGTGCCCTGACAAAACAGGATCCAGACCCAGGTGTCACACTGATTTCACATCTGTGCTTTGCCCTAACAGTACCAAGAACCGGCGTTTCTGAAGAACACGAGTCTAACGTGACTGCTCCCCTAACACCCTCTTTTAATGAGCCATAGCACGAACAAGCAAGCCCTCACTCCGCCCGCCCCGAGCCACCCCCCGGTGCCCACGGGCCACGAGCAGCTCCCAAAGCACGAGCGACGGTCCCGGAGCAGTCCTTGGACACGCTGCTGCTGCCGGGCCGCTGCTCAGGGACCAAGCACAGCGCAGTCCTTACACGTCCGCTCTGGTCTGCGTCTCCTCCACCTTGCACCTTCTCTTCTCCTTTCCCAACGGCCCCCAGCCCCCCAAACCCACGTTGGTTTTCTCTTCTGCTGGTTGCTTGAAATTTCTGTTTTAGCCATTTCAGTCATAATTTGACAGTTTTCCAAAGTTAATGTTTCTGTACAGTCTAAGCTTCTTAGGGCCTGCTGAGGGACAGAAAGAAAGAAAAACCTTGACTGAAATGCCAAATTATCCCACCTAACAGCACAAGTAACAAATGTATACCGGCAATCTTTCTTTCATTGCAAAGGCTGCCTAAACACTCACACCTAGGTAAAATTAAGCAAGAAGAGAGACTGCAGGGAAGCATCACGGAAGGTAACAGCCCATCTGTGTACTCTGATATAAAGCGCAGAGGAAGTGACTAACCAAGATTCAGATGCAGCGTAGCAGAGCAGCTGCCCCCCCGGCGCATTCAGATGCAGCGGAGCAGGCCAGCTGCCCCCCCGGCGCAGCATGGCTTGCACATCTGCCGAGCTGGCCTGGCCGGCAGCACGCTGGCACACGTGCGCTTACAGCCTCCGTGCCTGTCCTTGTCAAAAGCCTAGGATTCGCTCCACCACTAAAGCAGGTTAAGTAGTATTTTTGTTAAAAAAATAAAAAAAAAA